TAGAGATGATAAGAACATCATCAGCTGGAAATATGGCAAGTCTGGTCACATTTAATAAATTAACTTAAATAAGCCATCCCTAAATGAGCAATATGGTTGAATAAGCTTATTGCTGAGATGGAATTGCTGTAGTAGGATATGAATCTTCATTGTGATAGTTAGAGTGTGCTTCACCTTGCTAAAAATTAGGTGATGGATAGTAGGATGAAACACATTAGCATCAGATATCATTTTATCAAATACGCTGTGTCTGAGAACGTGATTAACCTCATCAAGATTGATGAAGAGCTTAACCTGACTGATGACTTTATCAAAGTGATTTCTTTTGATAAATTTTCAAAGCAACGTACAACTTTGAAGATTTTGCAGCAAAGAGTTAGATCAAATGATAATTCCTATCTATGTAGTTTCTCTCTGACATGTTATCAATTACGGTTTAGTTCTAGGTAACACTTGTTCATAGACATATAACTATAGTTTAGTTTTACTTTCTAGAACTTCACGCTGAAATTATATATTAATTATAGAATTGCCTCCTCCTAGACTTGCATTAAGTGAAAGTTTGAAAGGTTAACCCTCATCTTGTTAATCGTAGTTAGTCTAACCGTAGTTAAGCTTGACATCTAGTTCCAGTTTGGTGCACTTAATCCTAAAATGAATGTGGTTTCTTCGGTTACACAAAAGTCTACATCCACGGAGGAAGTTCACGAGTGAGACTTTACCAAAAAAACTCATTAGTAATACACAAACCCTTAAGATAAAATATTCCAACATCGGCAACACTCTTAATTATAAATAGCTAGGACCTGATGTTACTCCTTAACCCAAGTTAACCTCAACAAAAGGTAAAAATTTACTTTTACTAAACATATTTCAACAAACAAATTTTAAATCATAATTTGATGAAATTTTGGAAAAATTTTAGATAATTAAAAGATAATAAATCTTTTCATTCAGTTTTAATTCATCTAATTTTATAAAATAATCAAGTAAGTTTTTTAAAAATTATGCTTTTCATGATTTCACAGAAAATAAATTTCATCTGAAACTTATAACGTCATCATTTTCAACTTGTGAATAATATTCAAGAAAATTTTAATTGAAGCTATGCTTGAATAATACACCTTATATTATAAAAATGATGAGAATTTGTGTCTCCTCATACGTTTTTCATTAACAGTTTCAATGTTCATGTACATTACAGTTTTAGATAAATTTGTATGTAGTTCCAACCGTTTCGCTTTGTACATTTTTGCCATTTCATATAATCAATTTTTGAACATATTTTGCATTCAGTTTTTCAAAATTTTTAATTCCTTTACATATCTTCTTAAACGTAATCTTGACTTTTTTTTCTTGAGAATCAATTGATCCCTTTTTTCTTAGATTGATCTAGTTTTCGTTACTTTGATTATAATAAGTCAAATAATTACAACAATTCCTATATAAGAGGTATGCCAACAGTTCCAAAGACACAAAACTATGAAGTTTTTTATCAAAATTCTGTGATCGTGTGAAAGCACCGTCCCCGAGGTGAAAAAACAGAAAGTGGTGTTGATTTTATCTTTGCGTCTCGATAATAATGTCTGGTGTTGATTGGATGTTTTGCTTCTCAATAGGGATAGTATTGTCTCTATTGAGAAGTCCAGGGGTTCATAGAAGGGAGTTTCACACACTCCATATACAACCCGGAGATGAAAATGAAATTACATATCTTACTCCAACATCATCGAAATATCAAAACCAGCATAGAAAAATATAATTTTTGTGCACGTTCTGTTCATAAATCAGTAATATGGTAATAGGATTAAGCCAGTTTTTGAATATCTTATAATAAAGTGAAGGTGTTGGAATTAAGTGTAAGCATTCATTTACTCTCTTCCGTCACACTCAGAGTGAAACATGATCAATGGTGTAAGAAGTTTGACCGTCCCCCCTCCCCCTTCGAAAGAACGTCACGCAACGTGAAAGCACTGTATGGTTGTGGAAGCAATATATTTGCCCATTTAAAGTGCATGAATATATATAAATATATATAGAGGATTTTATTCGATTTCAAAACTGGCTAAACGTGTGCAATCATCTTTTGAAAGTGTAGGACTGAGTGGAGCCCAGATGTAAATGCGAATGAGCAGTGATGATATTTCGCACATGGTTGAAAATTAAGCGTGAAAGTTCACGCTCGCCGTTGTTCAAGTTTGGAGTGAAAATTGTTCGGGCCTCATTCGTTGGGTTAGCATATTCGACACCAACGCTCGCCAGTTGCTGGTTAGGTACTTGAACAGGGGATTTATTCGCCGAAATAATTACGTTTCTTTCTCCTCTCTCTTTTTTGTCCTGCGAATAGACTTGGACTTCATCCTCATACGAGGTGCATTAACGAAGAACAGGCATGCATGCATACGAGGAACAGGCCTTACCACAAGATCGACGCATGGATCTTACTCCGGAGGGTTTCTAGCACAGGAGTAAATTTCACGATCAGGACTCTTTTGTCCCATGGGTGGCTTCCAACTGCAATGGAATTTCGAACCAACCCAATGACTAGAATTTTTGCCGTACGACTCTAATGTGACTTTTAACCTTTAGATGATTAATACAAGGGTCAATGTTCTGGAGCCAGCATTTCAATCAAGATTTACAGATGACATTTCTCTAGAAAGACGTGAGTTCAGGAATGATCCTCTTAGTCTCTTTGTTTGAGATTGATGGACGGGAAAATGAACTGTAAAATGAATGTGTGCAGAAAAATGTTTTGGGCGAATGCTGATCCGACGTGAATCTAACGATGGACTATGTTCATTGGTTCGGAATATCGAGTTGTGATGTGGACAGTGGATAGATCCAAGACCAAGATCCATGTTATCGGCTCAAAACATAAAAGAAAACTTAATTTGTCCAAACCAGAATACATGCTTTCTACAATAAGGAAAGAATGTACAGCATGGCTATTAAATTATGGCAAATGCCATATTTTCCAGAATTGACTTAATTCTGGCATTTTTGACATTTACACTCTAATTTTATTACTTTTGGTTCGATGATTTCGCTATAATCATTTTGAATTGATTCACATGCAAGACTCATCTTTCTCCCATTTTACAGTCTCTTCCGTATTTGGAAACGTTGAATGAATAAAATAATACATGAAATGTAATTGGGCCAAGAAAATATTCACAATGATAAACCGTAGACAATTGAAAGAAAAATATAAGATACTTGGGTAATTCTATTGAAAGCAAGAAAATACTCACAATGATAAAAAACAAGTACTACAAAAATGAAAGTAATAAAATGAAAAGAAAAAAATGTACACAGTGTATTTTTCTTACTTCTTTTAGAATCATATTTTTCTTATATCTTTTATTTCTTAAGTCTCAATTTGCTATCCATTGCAGAGTATTTTTATTGCTTCTTTTATTTCTCTAAATCGCAACTTGCTCTCCATTGCAGAGTATTTTTATTGTTTCTTTTATTTCTGTAAGTCGTAACTTGTTCTCTCCCCTGCAGAGTATTTTAGAGAGAGATTAGTTATCACTCAGTTTAAACTAAATATCCCTCACCCTTATCATACGGTTAGGAGAACCAATTTCTTTCAGAGGTAACATACAATATTGAGTCACTTGATAACTGCATCTTTTTTGTTACCACCCTTGCGTCTGCACTAAATCACGACGGTGTAATCCTTCAACGCGTAAGCTTGCAATGTGGATAGCGCAGGGTCCAATGTTGCCTTTGAAAACTCTAGCTTTGGAGCGAGGGTGTTCATTATAAAATGAAATAACTCTACCCAATCAAATACCTACTTGTTTAAACAATTTATATACTTTTTGTAGTGTGAAGGATAATTAACCCCTTCCTATTTTTATTGTTTCTTTTAATTTTTTCAAGTCTCAACTTGCTCTCCCCACTACCAACAATTTTCTTGCTTCTTTTATTTCTTTTGTGAGCAGTTTGCTCCCCATTGCTAAATTAGTAGGAACGAGAATATGAGCACTCATTCGCAATTTACTTTCAAGTTAGAAGCACATTGAGTTCGCGATCCACAGATCGCCAGCAAATTAAAGCTCATTCACTCACATACTGCTATAAGATCACGCATTCCTACCCTAATCTACTTATCCTGGAATTCCTTTGCCAATCTTGCAAATTTTGGCAAATTGTCCAAATTAATTTGGACTCTAAAAATAAGAAAGCCGGAATTTAGGAGGGCTGATGTGTAAGTAGACACTCACATTGTAACAGTCATGATTTGATTTACATTTAAGGGGCTTGCGGTTTTCATTCGCTGTTGAGCAATCTGGCTTGAGGAAGGAAATGCACTCAATATTACAGTGCGAGTGTTTTACACACCCTAGAGAGGTCTTATATCCACATAAAAGTCTACATGAGCTGCTGGATATGCAGCCAACTGAAGTCTTCAATCTCGCGGCAGTACAACCGAGCTCCTGCATCTGCTTTCAAGAAGAATGCCGAGAACTTTAAAAGCCTACGCAGAATATGTAAAACTTTGTTACTTCCCGGACTGAATCTGCTATTGTTCTCGCTATCGACGTATGGATCTAAGGATGTTTCGGCGAGCGTGAGTAAAGGCATTACTGTTGATTTTCCTGAGCAGAAAAATACACCTATTTTTCCCCGCAATGTATGATATCGTTCACGTAACTCCTTGAAAACCCCATCGCTCCACATATCAATATCTGTGGAGCTATCTCCCCTGAATCACGCACACAAACTGCTCCACCATAATTATGTCCACGGAAGGGCATATGCTTTGAGAAATGGCCAAAATGCTGATATTTAGCTTCGTAGCTTTTCAACAAGAGAGTAAATTTCACTCTGATGTACTGCTGGCGCCATTGCATCCATAGTATACGGGAGGGTAAAAGTTCGCTTTCCACTGGACCAAAGTCTTTCGGAAGTTATTTTGATGCTCTCACCGAAATTCGAAATGCTATTCCTGCATGTGGCAAGCAACCCTATACAGCGGTCCCGCGAGCTTGACCTCTGACAGGGATAAATAGAGCACTCTCTCAAACCAAATTCATCAGCTCATCCAACACTTGGTTCAGTGCGGCTCCCGACTTCGAATCCAGAAGACTCTCATACGGTCGTTTATCTGTCAGGTACGGTTCTGCAACGGTATTCGGGCCTTCTCCATCAGTATTCTTGTGTGGTTGCATGAAAGGAATGAGACATTCAGGACGTCGATTTATTTTTTGCTAACGAGACATGTGTCCAGCTTCTACATATTTCATGATTCGCCTTAGACATCCGAATTAGCCGAGGCCAGATCGGATAATGCATGCACGGATGTCTATTGTAGAAGGGTTTGCAGCATGACAGTCTTACTAGCTCGATCTTCTGGATACCCGTGAACCTCTAAGCACTGATAGTCGTTTGTACCCCGTTCTTTTTCTTGTTTTATTCACCCATGTCGACTTCTCCTTTCAAAACGAGACGTGTGCCTAGCTTCGACATATTCATGATTTGGCTTAGACCTCAGAATTAGCCGAGGCCAGTTGGAAAAATGCATGCATGAATGTCTATTGTAGACTCGTCTGTGGCATGAACTACCTCGGTCTTCTGGATACTTCTGGACCTGTGAGCACTGATAATCGTTTATTCTCCGTTCTGGTACTCGCTTGTTCAGCTATGTCGACCTCCATGATCACACAAGGAATTCCTTTTCCTGCTTCATCTGCGACATTCACAGTCGCCAATGCGGAGACCGGTGCTCACCTGGTGGTGGAGGATCGATCTGGTGCACCGGGCGAGTACAGCGTCACAGTGTCAACCACTGAGACACACGCCGAAAACTTGAATTTCAACCTCGTGGCCTCGACATATCCCGACCAGCCGCTCAACACCTGCTACCATATCCAGACCGTTTACGCCAAAACTGCGAGCGCGATCGCCGACGATGGGGATGAGAGTGACGACGAGGACGTCGGTCCAGACACCGGACCCGTCATTTCGAAGCTGGATCAAGCCGACAAGAAGCAACTGTGGTTCATCGAGCCTTCCACGGAGTTCGGCGATGGATGCTTCCGCTTCAGGAACGCCAACACCAATGGCTACCTCTACCAAGACCAGAATTACGGGCTGCAGTCGAAGCCCGCGACGCAGGAGGAGCGCCGCCAGGACTGGGTCCTGCAGTTCGACCCATCCGCAGGTTCGAATGTTCCGGTCGGGATCCCTCTGATTCACACTCAGTTCAGGATCAGCAACTTGGCGTACAAGAAGGTCATTCACGCCAAGCTGAGTGGTGACAAGGGCATCATCGGCCTGCAGAACGAGGTGACTCTCCGTAAGGACCAGGTGTTCACCCTCGTTCCGTCCACACGGCAACCAGGAGTTTACCACATGCGCAGTGTGTACACGGACTTCTACGTCTCTCAATCTACCACCGGCAACCTCAGCCTGGTGCCACTCAGTCACGGCGATATGAAGCAGGCCTGGAGCCTCGTCCCAACCACCATTAAGCCGGGATTCTACCGATTGCAGAACGTCGCAAGCGCTGAATTCGTCATGGTTACCCTGGACCGCACACACTACGTCCTCGGAACGGACGCAAAGCCGGAACGCGAGTACCAGTGCTGGAATTTCTTAGGCGCATGAGCCGGTCCCTTTGGTCGCTGCTGGCCACCGTGGTCGGGGATACGATCCTTCGAGCAAACTCTGGCCTCAGACATGATCCAGCTAGATAATCGTACTACAGTAAGTACATTTCGTGTGCAGATCGCTGAAATGTTGCCAGTGACTCTAAGCTTTCTACGTGTGGATCTCTAGTAATTTTACGGACCGCTACAAGTCTATCAGATCCAAACGAGTTGATTTCTGACGTCGTCAATTACTTTCTTGGCATACCAGCATCAGGTCGTTGGTACTCAGAATCACGTTCTGCAGTAAAATATATCTGTGGCTTATAGCGTTCAAAATTGTGACTGATCGTTGAGCTCTTGACTTTCTCTGCGAGTCGGATGTGCTCAGACACTTAGATCTGAACAGCTGTAAGCAGTGCATTGTCTGACAAATGCTCAACGCTATCAATATATTACTAGCATTTTATCATTCCAAACTTCCCAACACTGGCTATGCAGCTATTCAATGTTTTCTAACGCACTGAAATCCGCACCAAAGTAAAGTATAGCATGAAGTCTCATCATCCCCGTTCGGTCAACACGGACATAAGATATACATTCTTCGAAAGCAACAGTACCACTGGCCTTCACTGTCCTTCCATCCTCATTGAGGATCAAGTGCAATAGTGATGAGAAGGTTACTCTCTCTTGAGAAAGAAGTGATTTCAATCATGCACACGGCTAAGTGATCTACATGAAAGTTCAATTTCTAATTGTTATGAGTTCATGCACAACTTTATGTTTCTGGCTGGTTCCTAAACTTGACACGTAGTCTTCCTGCATTTGGATTACATCGATGGGTCTGCCATAATGGGCGACTCTCTAGAAACAATTCACCATTCAGATTCTCACCATGCTTTCTTTCTCAATGTAGCTCGAGTTTTAGGCTAGTTATACTCCGATCATGAGAAGCATGTGTGTGCACATGCTTTTTTTCAATGAATTCGTAAGTTCAATGAAGCTTTTGATGAACATATTTAGTAATGAAATGGAGAGAGGTAATCATATGAAAAGTAGAAATCTGTGTGAGTTAAACTATAGGGTCTTTTTATTCATGGGAAGAAAAACTCTATCTAAATATAAAAATTTATTTGTAATGGAGTATGAATTTCGTATTTTTGTAACTAATGCTTCCAGCTAATCCAAGATCGTTGTCCAGCCATTGCACACTCTCGTCTAGAAGCTGCCATCGATACTTTTCAGACTTCAATCGATCTAAAGATCGTTCGCTGTAGGTACATAAAAAATATTGAAATAAACGCTTCCATATTACTCTTTGCGAGATTCGTTCTCAATGTTCATGGTGGACACAAGACAAAGCTAAAAGCCTGATCATTCACCCAATCCTCAAGAATACAAACAGTAGTCTCGTCATTATTACAGTGCTGGCCGTTGCCTGCCTTTATTTTTACATAATGAGCTGAGCTCTTTCACACACATACACAAAATTACGATAACACAGAAAAGGAGATAACTGCCGCTTGTAACGAGCCAGCCAAGCACTGAAACATATTCTATGTCGTATGTATCATCAACTCATGTGATCGACAAGGTAGACAGTTGATACATCGATCTAAGCCTCGGCGATGTAAGCAGCAGTGTCATCGGAGTCGAGTGTCAAGGAGTGCTGGTTCCAGAGGATCTTGTACTTGAGCCAGGTGGCGTCCTTGGGGTTGAGAGGGTAGTCGTAGTTGCATCCGTTTTCCTCATTGCTCTTACCGCAAACGCATCCGAGCCCGACCTGGTAGTAGCACCCATTGTCCCAGTTGCACCACCCCGATTCCCAGTCCCCGGCTCGAGTCACAAAATCTGTGCTCCAGCCGCGTTTCAGCACAGACGGGCCGTAAGAGCGGCAGCACCCGCTGAAATCGTAGTGGCAGTCTTCGTGGTAATTGTGGCAGCCATTGCAGCGACGGATGCACAAGTAGTATCCCGTAGCTTGCTTATCTTTCGTGTACTCTGCAACCATCATCTGTGCGTTGTTGTTGGTTTGGCCTGTTGTTACCACCAGTGGGCAAGTGATCGCCTTCCACCCCTCGTAGTACGCCTGCATGCAATTGTACAAAGTCAGATCCCGTCTCGGTCGCAAGCAGGGTGACATTACTTGACTTGATTGGATTCATTCGATTCGAGAGTATACTACTGTGAATACCTGCAGTGCTAGAGCCCTCTTTGCGTCAACGCTATTCCTGCCCGAGCGGCCGAGTAGAAAATCCCAGATCGGAAGGTATTCGTATCGCACGGGCTGCTCGCCCACCGAGTCTTGGCTCAGAAACTCCTGTAGTAGCGCTTGAGTGGCGAGCCCGCTGGCCAATTGGCTGCGTGTAGCTGCGCTGCCACCCTTCACCCGCTTCGTGTCGGTGGTGGTGAGCTTCGATGCTTCCCGTCGCTCGGATTCGCTGTAGCCGGCGCAGGCTTCCAACGCCTTGCCCGTGATTCCCTCGGCCTTCACGCACGCCTTAATCTCCATGTCTCTCTGACTGTAATTTTTCTCGAACTTGGAGCTACTGAAGCTCTGGTAAACTGCTCCAGTGTAAGCTACATGCACGATGTGCGACCCCCACATGTTCATGAAGTTGCGGAACGGTGACCATGAAACATCCACATGCGGATCCGTCACCTGAGTGGGCAAATTCTGGAAATCTTGCAGGAATTCTTTTTTCAGAGGGAAGCTGTTGAGCTCCGAGCCCCTGGGTAGATACGTTTTGCTGTGTAAACGCGCGGCTTGGACTTCAGCCACTTTCACTTCAGTCTCCGATCCTGACACTCGATTGAATGCTGCATTCACACTGAAGCTGATCTGCTGGTAGCTTCCACCCAGTCCCATCTCAGTAGCAATCTGACACCATTACAAAGCCACGTTGAGCGAATGTACATACAATTTGTACACAAATTGGGATAAGCCATCTTTTCAGCTCTCTACATATGTTATGCAAATGGAATATGGTATAGTATAGAATTTTGACAGTCGTGGCGACAATGGACTTGGTGCTAAAGTTGCCTCAACATATACTCTACCAATCATTTAGAGTAGACAGAATTTGTATTAGTACCGACTGCTTGAACTTGTCGCTGCTTTCGAAAAACCTGGAGTTCATGTCTGTGTACGATTCCTTGGAGGTCCTGGCGATGGTGTTCAAGTCATTCAGATAAAAAATCAGCGGATCCGAGTTGTGATCATTCACCAGGTTAACATCGGGCAGATAGACAATTCTTCCCAGAGATTCGACGGCGGCACTGTTCGTGGCGGCGGCAGCGACACGAGTTATCGCAGCCAGAAGCCCCAGGCACAGTTTCAATCTGATCACAAATTCTCCAAAGTGAGTAACATAATGTATACATCAGCATACCATTACACGACCAGCGAACACAAAATCTGAGACACCTCAGCAATGTACGTTGCCCAATGGATACTGCATAGTGTTGAACTTAGACATGCCATAGCATCTCACATTCTCAATGTGAAAACTGAACAATGTACAATGTCATGGCGACAGAATACAGGTCTGCAGAATCAAACCGTGTCAACGCTGATGCCCCCATGGTCATGTTGGTCGAAGTCCACAAGCTACTCCAGATCAATCGTATCGTGAGGTTGGATTGAGAGTGTAGAGGTAGACGATCGGAGTCCAATTTAAAGAGTTCATAGCTGAAGTTAGAGACTCTGGCAAATGCTTTACTCGTGGGTCATAAATAGACCAAGCAAGAGTCTGGGCAAATGCTTTACTATGCATGGTCTATTCATGGGACCAGCGGCCGGAGAGATAGCGAAGTGCTATCTTTCTATGCCTGACTAGGACGCTTCGGAAATAGTGAGACCCTGAGGTACATTGTCCTAGTCTATCATACACCAAAATCTTAATTTTTGGTTGTAATTGGACACAGTTTCGTGTACTTCTTTGGTGTAGTTGTACACCTTTTCCACTAGTTTGAGCAAATAATACTATTAGCAAATGACAAGTCTTCAATTTAATGACAGTATAAAATGTTTATTAAGACATAACGGATATGTCTTATGAGCAAAATAAGTTTTGGGCAGATTCAGGCAATAAATCGAAACAACTCCACGTTTATTCTAGTCAATTAAACCATTTCTTACGATTTGTTATTCTCAAATTTTTATGATATCACACTGGAAATCCCACAATTTCTCAAGACTGTGCTAGGAGGATAGTTACTTGGGGTTCATTGTACTGTACAGTCCCCTCAAGGTGATTTGTAAATTCTGTTGTTGGGGGCACCTTGCCAACCAATTTCAAAAACTTTGAAAATTCCTTTTGAATTAAAAAATTATTTGATTTAAGAACCGTAAATTGCATTGCAATCACAATAGAGTGTACTACATTGTCATTACAGATGTTCACGTATAATATAGACAACTACAGTAAGAAATTTCAAAAACTTCATACACTATCTACAGGCAAGTAATTCCACCCGATAATTCAATATGAATGTTCATTCTAGCATATCATAAGTGAGCACACAATGTTGATCTTGTCCTTGTCCTTGATGTATGATTTGTATCCCTTGCTCTTATGTTGTGGCGTGAAGGAGTTTTTTCAATAAGAATTTAGGTAGCACTTAAAGTGGTTGATAAGGCATTCTCTAAAACTGGCAAGAGTAGTAAACAAACTTGAGCTTAGCGACCAGTGCATGCGTGGTATCATTCAAACAGTCTTCCACCATTATTCAAATTCTAGAGCGGCATTTGTAATGGTGAGGAGGGCTTCTACAAGCTTTAATATAATTTTATTAATATCAAGACTCAATAGAAACTCGCTCCAAATTGCCGCATAACGAAGAATTGATACAAAGCAACCATCAAATGTGAGCCCAAGTATTTCAAGTTCAACCTTGTGTGCTCATTCCAAATAGGCATGCTAGAATGAACATTCATATTGAAGCAATGGATGGAAACATTTGCTTGTAGATAGTGATAATGAAGTGCTTGTAATTTCTTACTATATTTTCTATACTATACCTGAACATTTGTATTGGCAATGTAGTACAATCCATTATGACTACAACGCAGTTTACTATTCTTCTATCAGATCGTTTTTGAATGAATAACAAATTTTGAGAGTTCTTGAGGTTGGCTGGAATGTGTTCCCAAAAGCAGATTCGTAAAATACATTTAGGGAATTGTACTGTACATCTAGAAATTATTGCAACCTCTAATGAAACTCAAGCATATTCTAATTTTGAATTAAAATTTTGGTTTTGTTACTGTTGTTTGTTGTGAAAAACCAATATAATGATTTTTTTTAACTCAAATTAAAGAAAATCCAGTACTTTTCTCTCATTGTCACGTGGCTTACTTAATAACCATCAAGCTCAAATTCATTGCAAAAGGCTGCTATTAAGTATGAGATTTCATCCAATCTGAAGCATGATATTTAAAAGAATTTTGAAGTTGACAGTATTCACAAATGCGAGTACTTACTTGGAGAGTATATTAATTGCAGACATCCTAAAGATTTTGTGAGTAAACAATTGTCAAAGAAATTGTATATGTGTTGTTTTTTAAACAAGAAACCAAACTTTGTGAAATTTTATGTATTGTACATGTTGGAAGTTATGTGCCGAATGGTGAACAAAGAATTATTCAATGACCACCAAATTCTCTTAATGTCAATTCTATAGAAAACGTGTGGTGTTAAATTAATAAAAAGAAAAAGACTACCAAAAACATTTGTGGGCATCAGCCAATTTAGCATACGAGTTTGTAACCCAAGGAAGTATTAGGAAGTTCATTTCTAAAATACCAAAAAAAATTGAAGTTGCAGTAGCAGCTGAAGGTGGTAGCACTCGTTGGTAGTACGTGCTCTACTTTATTATAGAATAGTTGCTAGTGTACTCACTAGCAACTATTCTAGACATATTGTAACTTTCATAAAATGTATGATTGTAATAATTCATATGTTATGTAATTTGATCACAATTAGTGGCTCTCAATGAACAAGCACCAATTAAACTAGTATAAAGAGTATGATTCCCTCACGCTTATAAATGAATTCCCTTTTAAATTCATGCGTTGTATTAGATCCATCTCCGTTGCGACAAGTGACAATATTCCGCTTCTGATATTCAGAATTTGAATGGCACATAAAGATTAGAGATAATTCCATGGAGCGTAACGAGCATCACCAGCGCCGGAATCGCCGTAAGAATTAAAATGCATTACTTCAGGCAAAAATGATGTTGAATTTTAATAAACTGTTTAGGGAAAAAAATAATTTGAGATTGAAGTAGGTCAATAGCTGGTAAAAGCTATACCACAAACCACATGGCCCGGTATCGTTGAATATGTAAAAATGATTTCATGTAGGAAAAATACTTCATCTAAGATAAGTTCACGTCACTAGGTAATAAAGACTTCTCCATATGGCCGATTGTCATTGGACGCTCCCTCTAAACATCCATTACTCGCCGGCAAAAAATTAATACATTTTGCAGATGGTTCCAGATCTTTCTGAGCTAATCATCCATGACCCGTAGCAAATAAATTTATTTATTTAATTTATCAAAATAAATATATATAAAAACGCCAGAAGACTTACAAAGGATTTGAACTCAGTCCTGCCAAGAGTTCGGCCCGTCATTTACGGGCAATCTTTGGGAAAGGTTCCAGAAGGTCATTATGGGTGTTGTCAAAGGTGCCCTCTTACCCTTATTTTTAAGCTTAAGTTTCTATGCTTCTAGAAGAAAATATAACCAACCATTTTGAACACAAAGTAGTTGAAAAAACTTCCCTGTAACGTAACACATACTTAACTCAAAATTTAAATTATCTTATTATAATATAAGATGAAAAGTGATTAGTTTTCATATTTACTTAATTACATAGATCTAAAAAAGAGAACAAAGTTTCTGTATTTTTGAAGCATGTGTGATTTTTTAATAGTGACATAAGTTTTGAACTCTATGCAAGATAATTAAAACCCTAAAATTTTATACAAGGTATATATTTCTTTAATAGAATTGTGAGATATGAACATTTCATACATTCAATTAGATGTTGGTTGATATTGTGCAATTTCATCATATGATTAGCAAAACTTTGAAATTTAGTGATCAAATATTTGAAAAATTCAATTACAGAAACTTTCAGTGTTAAAAAAGAAAATAATAATTTTATGAACAGTTTTGGTTCCAAAAAAATATATATTTAAATAATAATTTTTATTTTACAAAAATGTATTAATACTTTTGGAGTAAAAATATTTTTTCTATATTTTCTTGAATATTCAGTTTTTTCTTATTGTAATAATTGTGAATATTGCAGAATTTAACGTGAATAATTACAAGGCAATATGATATTTATCTGCTGGTATATAAGATATTGAAAAAAAATATGGAGTCAAAGAATATATCACAAATTAAATACGTTTGAAAGTATATATCAAGTTCAATCATTCATCTGATGAAAAAATCATACAACATATCAACAGAGAATAAAATCTGTAAGAGTTTAATAAATTTGTATTTTTTATGCATAATTTAATTTTGATTATTAAAAAAAGCCTATAAATTTATAATTTCATGTTGAAATGATAATAATTTCAAATTTTATTAGAAGATTTAATATCATATATTTGATGAAAAATTCACATATTCGAATCAAAATTATAACGTAATACAATGAAATTTTAATAAATCATT